AATTTATAGGTTAGGTAGATAAATTGTAGATTCCTTGTCAATTCTGCTTACTTTGTTTTCCTGGTTATGAAACCATTTCGATAATTAAAGATTGCCATTAACTTTTTATATATGTATATATATTTTTTTTAATTAACATTTCTGGTTTGACTTAAGATTATCTTTTGGGAAACGCCTTGACGCGATAACGTAGATCAAGTGCATTTGGTTGTCACATTTACGTTCGAGATTAATTGTTTCGTTAATTCAGCTAACGTATCCCGTTAGAATCTTAATGATTTCGGATAACCACCAACCACAGCAGCTGCCGGTTGTAACAATTCTATACAAGCATGCGTGTTGAGAATCCAAACCTTTTATAAAGTTCGATGTGACATGCGCTTTAGTGTTCGGCGTGCTTTAGTGACATACATCGTTTCGTGCTCTGGTCAGTGGTTTTGATTTTTCGACATTCCAAGAAAGGAAATGGATTTGAAGTGATATCTGGAATGTTATCTTATTTCTTTCTTACTGATGTATGTAGGGACTATACCTTCAAATCTATCTTTGTTGTAGACGTCATCGTTTTGTAGGCGTGAATTGGTGTCCAAACAAGTTACTTGGATTTGGAACGTTTGTCTTTCGCTACCAGTTTTGACATTAATAAAGTTTTTTTCGCTGTAGCCTAAACGAAGGGAGCAGCCAAACAGTTTTTTCACTCCTTTGGATACCCTTCTAAAGAAAAATGGTACTTGTGACCGGTTTCATCGTCTAGCACTAACGAGTGGTTTCACCGTCTGATTTTGGTACTTTCGAAAGTACTAACCCAGCAAACATTTTCTATAACATTAGTTATAACTCGACTTTGTTAAAGACGAATTTACTTATTGAGGTAATTATTACGTAAAATTGACTAGAAAAATATACCTCTAATGTAAATTTACCAAACGGTTTTAATTTATATTTAAATTTACGTAAATTATACCAAGAAATCTACCTTTTACACAAATCTGCTTAAAAGTAACTTTAACCATATCAGTAAGGGAAAAACTACTAAAAAAAATAACCAACAATTACTTCAAAGTTAAATTTCCTTTGTAGTAAAATTGGGTGCCATATTCAGGTAATATCTACCTGTTTGACAACTAAAAATCGATTTTATAGTAGAATATCCAACCATGTAGATTTGATTAAAAATTCTACGTAATTTTATGCCTCCATAGTAACCTATTTTGCCGCTTTTATTTACTCTCCTTTAAAGTAATATTAGGTCGAGATCGTAGCAAAATTCTACCTGTTTATTTACCTAATTTCAACCAAATAGTCGAATATTCATTTAGTTGACCTATAAGTCATCTTGAAATATTTATTAACTTTGTTGTAGCAATTACCTGAAAAATCTACCACAAAGTAAATTCGACTAAAAACCACCAATTTAAAAAGAGTCATACATGACCTATTTGTAAAATTTATATTATTTAGGTTATTTTAACAATTAGGTTGTTCAGTTACTGTCTTCGTCATTATTCTTAAGAATTTCGGCCATTTCAAAAAAACCATTACAGTCGTAATCTTAATTTACGTATGGTGTAGATAGAGCTTTAAATGAGTGCGAAAAATAATTAATAAAATGAGTTCGAAAAATAATAAATCATATCGTTATACTTCCGATTTTTATCGTAAAGTGAAACGTCTAAAATCTCAAGTGCAGAACAACGTGACCTAAATATGTTATATTTACCTATAGGTAAATTCTTTATGAAACCTATAAGTTATTATTTCTTTAAATAGGTAAAGGTAACTAATATGTCGTGAAATTAAAGTTAATTCAACTTAGTAAAAAGGTATTTGTAAAATACGTAGATTTCCTTAATCATAATAACTTTTAGGTCGAATTCGCAGAATACGCCATATTTTCTTAACGTAATTGATGTACGATTCCAAATTTTAAATTTTTAAAATGACCATAACTAAAACATACGAATGAAAATACCGAAAAACGAAACATTATTGATTTTCTAAAGTGATACACAACAAACGTAACATAGTTTTGGCTCATTATATTATTATTATTTTTTTACACGATCATATTTTTTTCTTATATTTTATTAATTAGAGAGTATTTTGGAAGGGCATTGTTATTTTTCTAAGTAGAACTGTTAACATGCACGACAAAATTTCACCGCAATTACATTACATATATTTTTGTCACCGACATTTATTTCTTTTCAATCTTTCATGTGAATTAGGTATATGTTTTAGTTGTGTTCTTACAATATTTCTACTTATATATGGATAAAAATACCAAATAAGTATAAAATTTCTGTTTGTACACTTGGTGGCATACGTCATCTGCAAATATTTTGGTAGTTTCTACCTAAACTTAAATCAACGTCGAATTTACGTTATACTGACGTCAAATTTCCCTAGAAAGGTATTACTAACCAAACGTACTGGGCTACTACAATGTGGATTTAGATGTAATTCTACCTATTTTGGTAAATAAAACCAAATTTCGACGTCGTCTTCTCCACTTATGTCGAATCCACGTCGAGCCAACGTAAATTTTACTTAATTATGGTTAAATCTAATTTTGCGACCAAATTTATTATATATAATTTAGGTAGTATCGACGTCAAATTACACCAAAATGTTTGCTGGGAAGACACTAAGAGTCAAGTCTGAGGCCTCGTTTATTCACCTCTGGTTGAGCACTTTTTATCATCAGACAAGAGAGTTTCAGAGATATATTTGTTACGCCCATCTACTGTTAACTGAGTTTAACGTTCATATGTTCTTAAGGTTATTTTAATATTGAACGTGTAAAACATACTAAATCTGAATGGATTATGATTTAAAGTTTTTATTAAATTTTAAGGATAAAAGCATTATGTCTTTATCACAAATAAATTAAATAGTATTTCAATTATTGATACCATGGTACACTCTATAACGTGAATACCTGGTTATTTTATTTACTTTGATAGGTGTTTGAGCTCAATTTATAAGGCGTAGGTTAAGTTTTTAAATAACTCGAATAACTTTGAAAAAAAAGTTGGACACCACTATATTTAAAACTTATACACTTAACTCTAGATTAGTGATAAAAATATAGAAAATCACTAAGCACTAACAAATTATACTTAAACCATGCTTTAGATAAAGTAGTTATCAAATTCTAATTCACATAAGTTTGCACATAATTCAAATTTAAAAAAAATTACTGGTTAAATGAATTGCACTTATCTGTAGGTACATAAGGTAAGTTAAGGGTAAAATCAGGTATTACTTCACTCCAAACTGTAGAGGTACACAACAATACACCTCGGTCAGGCAACTTTCACCAAGGGATCCAGGACCTCTATTTACAATTCTCATTTTTGACTGCATAAACGTTATTCCAATTCAAAACGTCTAGAGATGAAACTTGAATGATCTTCAAGATAAATGGTTCTTATTGTATTTGAACCCAAAACTGTCTAGAGATGAAATCGTAAATAATCTTCAGTATTTGAACTTGAACTCGAACCGTCTAGAGATGAAACCAAAATCGTCTAGAGATGAAACCAAAATCGTCTAGAGATGAAACCGTCTATAGATAGCTATCAGCTAAAAAAGGGTTTAAAATGTTATGATAGGTAAATGGAAATTTAAAAAGGGTTTAGAAAGGGTTTAGAGACTAAAATTAATATAAAAAGTAAAAATCTTATTTAATATATTTAAATATAGTAAAGCATAATGTTTTATTCAAAAAAAATATATATATATATAATTTTATATAAAACTAACACATTTAAAAATTTGTTCAAGAAATCCTTGCACAAAATATATATATTTAATAACATATTATTAACAAAACATACCTTATATAATCAGACGGCCATTAATATATATCATTTAATTCATCGGATGACTTAGATTAAAATAAAATCAAGTTGATCGTCCTGTCAGTCAAATCAAATAAAAGCCTCACAAGGCATAGAGGACAAGTGACATTTGAGTAAGAGGTGAATGTGTCGCAATAACGGTTCCAACCGTTGCAACTCTTTATCATAAATAAAGTAAATAGTATTTAAATTATTAATACCATGGTTTAGTCATTTTATCATAAATAAATTAACTAGTATTTCAGTTATTAATACCATAGTTTCGTCATGCTACATACCTTTGCATAGTACATTAGTGCCGTTAGTTTCTAACTTTTATTTCCTTTGGTCATCTATTATTAGGAATTTTGATAAATTTAAATATATTTTGTTTTTGTTGAAATTATTCTAACCTGGTCCAAGTAACCGTTACTGTCAATTGACATAACAAGTAGAACTACCAAGTTACCTCATTAAAGACTGGCAAAAAAAGTCTACAAGACTTTTTGTCTAAGACACCTGTAACAAGTAAGAAAAATCGCTTTGCTCTCCAGCAATTTGTAAAACTGATATACAGCCCTCTGGGCGTGATAACAACATACAGATCTTAATCAGCTGAAGATCAGGAATATGTCTTCAAAAAAAAAAAAAAAAAAACGTTTTGCCAGTGAACAAATAAAACTTAAATTTGCAACTAATGAAAAAGCCGGGCATCAAAGACGTTTAATCATTGACGTAATATTTGAAATCTGAAAGTGCTTCATGGTTGAAAAGCGCGAGATGAAGAACAACCTCAACCTGGACCATCTGGGAGATCAGTAAGACATGCAGGTGATGACACTAAAGATTCTCCATATCCAGTGAAAACGAACTGTATTAATACATAATTAAGACTTATTATTTTGATTTACTTATAAAAATTAATAATTTATTAATATATCTTTATCTTTTTCTTTTTAATTACCAGTTGGGTGCAATAAGGGCGGATAAAATTTAATAAAAAAAAAATCAATTTAATTTTAAAATAATTTAATTCCTTAATTTAGTAACTACATTAAGGGACTGATAAATAAACCAAAGTGCAAAAGGTAAAGATTAATAGATTAAATGTTATAAGATTTCAAAACTTTCAAATTCAGTTATCTCAAAACTCACTTTATTTTGCAATGGTCTTGTTGCATCTAATGCTTCAATTGCAAAAACCTGACAATAAAAGCAGCAGCACGTTCAATTCATAAACAGCCTTAATTCAAAAACAAAGAAACAATGTAATTAAATATTTGAAAAAAAAAGCTAGCTGTACATTCTTGCAAAACTGGACAAATAAAACCACCTACGCCCGTATCGATGGATTAAAGATTTAACTGTACCTAATAAATAATTGTGGGTACTGATACCGACGTCAATAATAAGATTTATTCAATGTACCTAACGGTACGATTATAGATTCCTCCTACGCTACACCCATACTTATCGTATTTGATTAGAATATACTGCATCAGGCATTCAATGGATACTATTTATTTATTAATATGTAAAATATGTTTAAACAAATATATTAATAGTTGTATAATATTAGTATCAATATTTTAAAACTTTTGTCAAAAGTATAAATCTTTTAAAAATTATTTTAGATATTAAACTATTGGCCAATTACCACATACTAAAAAGGGCTTATAGGTCGTGGTCTTGAAAGTTTTTGTCTTAACTCTATTACCTTGCTTATTGGCTTATCTTATTTGCAATTGGATGTTTTCTAGAAATTGTTGCAGATGATCAGACATATCAATTGATGTCACTACTAGTTCCTATTTGATTCTAATATTTTTTTTAGCAATAATATATCATAAAGTATGTTTCTGTGTGAATTGGATATTTTTTTTCTACACCCGTATTATAATAATGCCCTTATATGCCCATAATCCGTTTCATAATGATACCCATTATGATACAGATTTTTCAAAACGATACAGATATTTAATTAATAGAAACCCATAATTTTTAAATCAAGTATGCTGTGCATTTGACGTTTGTCGAAAACTTAAGCAAAAAGAAGATGAGCATCAACTATTTGGTTGTCATGTAGCAGCAAAATTGAAAAAAATAAACGAAACAACAGATATATATGCAGAAAATTTAATAAACTAGATATTATTCAAAGGACAATTAAACCGACTGACTGACAATATTAGTATTAGCGAAAATCTTGGCGAAAATAGTGCTCCACCATACATGCGACAAGTTAACATTCCAATGGCATCAAGTTCTGCAAGTAGTGTATTTACTTCAACTCGAGAAACATCACCAGACCTGTCGACAGGTGCTGGAATATATTTTCATAACTTTACGTAATTTTTTTAGGTTTTCTTTTATAACATATTGCTGTTCTCTTATTACTTTATTTTCTGTTTATTAAAGAATATATATTACGTTTACGATAAACAAAAATAAATAAAATATTAGTAATTACTGTTATTGTGCTCAATACAGATATAAATATAATATTTATAGTTCTTGATTATTTATCGGGTATAGAAAAAATAGCGTATGCAACTCTCATGTAATGGTTATTAATACACGAGCATTAACCGGGATATGAAACGAGACGAAGGCGAGTTTCGTATGGTTTATTCGAGCCTAATACCTAGTCAGGGGTATATTTTTAGGAAATAATAGCATTCCTTCTTTATTATCAGTCTTTTGGGCAATTTACGTAACCCCAGGGGTAGTAAAAGACGTCTTTTAACCACCATTTTTCTGTGTTGCCAATATAAGTAGCTCACTCACACATATTTTGTTTCATTTTCATGTACTGGGAGTATTACTGATGACAAATTAAGCGAACAGACCAGGAAAAATTTTGAACGTAATCGATCCAAGTGGAGATATTTCACTTCAACCCCTTAATGTGATCCAAATCGTATAATTAAAATTATCTACAAAAACCAGCATTACCTCTCTTTTATTTAATAAATAAGAACATTATATCATCTGTCTTGTTGTACCTTTATTTATGGAAAGTCTGAATTGAGATACACTACAAATTATTTGCAATAAATATCAAAAGAAACACATAAACATTTTTAAATAATTTGACATTTAAGAGCCATTCACACATCACATTTGACATCTTGATACTTGACAGGCACAGCCAAACATTATTGATTTTTGCCAAATAAAATGGTCGGTTAATTATTCTATGGGGTTGCGACAGAGAGCCAGTAAATTTGATGAAGGTGTTTCTGTGGCTAGGGGCGAAATAGTAGTAAGCTTAAGTTAGCATCACCATAAAAAAGTAATTTTTAAGAAACTGCTTATATATTTTTCATAAATTGGCAGGCATTTCAAATAAAAATAGCCTCCAAAATGACTATGATTGCAAGTATGAAGGTCGCAACCCGCCTTAGAAATCTCACCTTTAGCTGTTATTTGACAGGTCGTTGGAGAATGTTTGCATTGTATGAAATGTTAAGAATGTTAGGAATGTTAGACGTTAGAAATGATTGGGATTCGTCAAATTAGTTACATAAGAAATGCATAGGCTGATTTTAAGAAAATTGATATTAAAGTAGAAAGCATGAACCGAAAATTTTGAAAATCAATAGAGTTCTAAGTAAGAGGTAATTATTCAAGAAAATCAAAACAGCAAATCAGAGTTATCGTGCCGGCATACATACACACAAAGGACCATTTTCTGACTCAGAATGATTGTAAACGTGAAAAAAAGTTTTAAAAAATGAGTGTAAGAAAATATTTTCGTCTGCACGAATACAATACTCAGGTCCCATAGGAAGGGCCTCAGTAACATACCAAATGTTTCGGCTGAAATTGAAAATTAGATTTTTAATAGGTAAAATGTGATATTCATTCAAACATTGTAAAATATTCTATAATTAAGGGGATATGAAAAATAAGTTTACCCTGGTTGTGTAAGAAACATGGAGGACAAAAAAATATTACCAGAAATTAAAAAATTAAAAAAATTTAAATAGTGTATATTAATATTAATTATACTTCCTGGTCCTGTCCTGATAGAGTACACATGTAGTTGCTTCATTTTATGCAAGCGTACACTATTTTTAAAGAAAACAAAACAATTTTCTGTTCCATCACATCACACATACTTCATTACGCTTTTTAGTGTGTGAGTGTACACTTCGATATTAAATTTATAAAGTGAATGTTGTAAAAATAAAAAAAAAAAGAAATGTTGGTGAAAAAATGATTAAGATTAAAGTTTTAAAAAAGGTTAGAAGATATTTTTATTGGTTGTTCAAGTAAGTACTTTAAATTGATAGCCGTTTACTTTGTTTTGTTTATGTGTTTATATTGGAATGTTATTCTTTCTCTATACGTTATCGATATCGTAACGTAATCGAAACGAACAAAGAAATTGGAATTGAAAGCTATCCATGTAATAATTCGAAATATTAATAATATTTTAGTTATTTTTTTGGGTTGGTTCGTTGTTATACAAATTGGTTTTTATCGCCCTCTTATATAACATTCGAACAATATATCTTTTAACTACTTATTTAAATTTATTTTTACCCATACACTAAAAAATACATTATACAGGTTGTCTCCGATATATGCTTAGACACGGTTAATTTGTAATTATATGAGATACCTTCTTCGTATCTCAGTCAATTTATAATGTAGTTTATTTTCATTATATACCTTTATCTGGCCTCCATTGACCTGTTATATATTTAAACAATCTTTTTATTTACTAGGTTTGTTCATTATAATAAAAATACAGTCTGACCTTTATTGTCCTTTTTTGTATTTGAAAAATGTCTATCTGTTGCCTATAGTTCATTATATACAGTCTGACGTTTATTGTCCTGTTCTATATTTGAACAATTCGTATATGTTTTTTACTGGGTTAGTTGATTATATACAGTGTTATCTTCATTGTCCTGTTATAAATTTGAACAATGCATATCTATTTACTGGTTTAGTTCATTATAAACAGTCTGACCTTTATTGTCCTGTTATATATTTGAACAATGCACATCTGTTTAATATCCGTTTCATATCTGTTTATATACAGTCTGATATTCATTGTCCTATTATATATTTTAACAATGCATTTTCATTTATTTACTGGTTTAGTTTATTATATACAGTCTGACCTTTATGGTCCTGTTATATATTTGAACAATACATATCTGTTTCATATCTGTTTATACACAGTCTGACCTTCATTGTCCCGTTATATATTTGAACAATGCATATCTGTTTATTTACTGGTTTAGTTCATTATATACAGTCTGACCTTTATGGTCCTGTCATATATTTGAACAATGCATATTTGTTTATTTACTGGTGTAGTTCAATATATACAGTCTGACCTTTATGGTCCTGTTATATATTTGAACAATGCATATCTGTTTATTTACTGGTTTAGTTCAATATTTACAGTCTGACCTTTATGGTCCTGTTATATATTTGAAAAATGCATATCTGTTTAATATCTGTTTATATACATTTTGACCTTCATTGTCCCGTTATATATTTGAACAATGCTTATCTGTTTATTTACTGGTTTAGTTCATAATATACAGTCTGACCTTTATGGTTCTGTTATATATTTGAACAATGCATATCTGTTTATGTACTGAGTTAGTTTATTATATACAGTCTGACCTTCATTGTCATGTTATATATTTGAACAATGCATATCTGTTTCATATCTATTTATTTACTGGGTTAGTTTATTATATACAGTCTGACCTTCATTGTCCTGTTATATATTTGAACAATTCATATCTGTTTATTTACCGGTTTAGTTCATTGTATACAGTCTGACCTTCATGGTCCTGTTATATATTTGAACAATGCATATCTGTTAATTTACTGGTTTAGTTCATTATATACAGTCTGACCTTCATTGTCCTGTTATAAATTTGAATAATGCCTATCTGTTTACTTACTGTGTTAGTTCATTATATACAGTTTGACCTTCATTGTCATGTTATATATTTCAACAATGCATATCTGTTTGTATACATTCTAGCCTTCATGCCCTATTATTTGAATAATGCATATCTGTTAATGTATCTTATTTGTACCCATGTGATAACAGAAAATATTCATAAAGGCAACTTATAGATGTTTACAGGTTGACTTTTCTATTTCTGAAATAAAATGGTATTGTTTTTAATCCCCTTAAGCG